CTCAAAGGACTAAAAAACATTTGGAAACAAAACTCAGAGAATATTACTCAAAGACTAACAAAGAAGATGTGACTAGAAGAGAAACATTCCTCCCATAACACATTCCTCGCATGAAACTTCAAACCGTATCAATGGCGACTGGTATCTTTATCGCTTTTCAGTGGTGAAACACAACAAGCCTGCAAAATTAAGGGAACAAACATATTCCAAGGTGCATCTTCCAACAAGTCATTGCTAGTAGAACCCGACCTGCTGCAAATTTTTATCTTCGTTTTTCTCTGTTATTGTTAGCATCAGTATGCTCTTTCGGCTGATATTGATCTTTCAAATGGGAACCCTGCCAGATGACTAGCCTTCAGGATGTGGCAGGATGACTCCAGAGCTGATATGTTTGTATATCAGTACAGAAGAGATATCTTTCATGCAAAAGAAAAGCCGACCTGGGCACATTAGGCATTGCAACGAATTGAGTTGTAAAATCAAGGGCGTTGCTTCCTGACGCAGCGTCAGCAGTCCTTGAAAACTTCTAAATTGACCATTATTTATACTGCTTTGAGAATTTGTATAATACGTATTAGATTAGTCGAGAATTAATTTAAATTGCAGCGACAAGTGGCTTCAATTTAACTAAAATCAGAAATTTTGATTCCATGATTAATTTTTTTTGTTAAACCGCACCACATAGTAGAAGTTAAAAACTTTTTCAGTTTTGGACACACAACTTCACACGTTCTTGTTCTCAAATGAAACGATCGTTATGACAGTTAAGAAAAAAGCTTTGATGTTAGCCGTGAACTTAAGAGCTCAAACGCAGCGAACTGTTGTAACTTTTGTTTGTTCAATTTCGATCATATAAGTCTCGTAGCGCCCCCACACGGTACGATTGCTAAATGTCTTTAAGCGAATTCGGCTTATTCACAATCAGCAAAGGATTTATGATCTACCAATTAAAGTCAAGTGTATGATTCTTGCTTGGCATTTTGGCTGGTCAAACTTTGTGCTAATGAGGATACAGAGTTGTTTTTTTACCGCGCCCGTTGAATAAGTTGAGTTATACATGTTTGGGTACAGCTCAGAAGAAGTCTTTTGTGCTTTAGCTTTTCTTCGTGCCCATGTCACTAAAAAAAACACAACTGCCGTTCGTATCTGTGAAGAGTTTTGCCATTGAAAGCGCTCTCTCTACTGAAGCTTTATTTGCAACAGCTACCCATTTAAAAGAAGATATCTTCAAAGCCTTCAAGACTTTTCTGTCAACTTTGTTCATGTGCCTGGTAGTGCTACCATTCTACAGTAGGCAATTCTCTAACCGTGATCAACCTACCTTCAGGGCGAAAAGAGGAGATTATCTGGAAAGTACGACTGTTTATCAGTGACATCACGACTTGAGCGAAGACATTTCTGCCGACACAAGAACAAGGGGAAACTCCGAAGATTTTTTGAAAATCAGCAGTGGGGTGAATGGTGCCAGCTTTTAAAAGGCAATGAGTGACCGTTCAAGCTGAATATAGAGATTGTTAAATAAATTGTTTGGCTTGTGACGCCTCATTAAGGTTAACTACGGTCTTCTAATAATTTCAATGGAGTAATAAACAATAACCTATCTTGTTTGCAAGGAAGATTTGTAGTTCTTTCCGTGAATTCCAGAGCTTGGTTGCTTTTATGCTCAATTAGCGCCCAATTGAAACCACGGAGATACTAAAGCAACCGTACTCAAGCCAAAGAGATAACAAAACCAGCTGATTTGGAAACAGTAAAACAGATACTCTTGTTGATGTTGCGAAAAAAAATAATTTTGAGGCTGAATTACTATTACAATCCTGCGACGAAAAGTCGCCCTGCATCCCATAATAAACACCTACCTAACGTTTATTAGACCCACCGTCCTTGTTCAATCAACCAGACGTAATCATTGGTGAAGCAGAAATGGGTTTCGAACAGCCTATCAGTTTTGATGGCAAACATAGCTTTGTGAAAGTGTTTCGTCTGATTTTTACATTGTTGACAACGGCAACATTTTTATGACATCTCTAAGCTCAAAAAAATTAATTAGATTAAGCAATTCCTATCCTTCGCGCCTTGTTGAAGTCTGTTGAACGATAAAGCAAAGTAGGAAGCTTAGAGCAAAAGCTGCCACGCCAATAACGACAAAGCTTTCAATTAAACGGCTAAGTTACCATCAGCCGCCCTGCACGATTTGCTGCTTTGATTGTTTGAACCTTTCAAAACCTCCATCCCTATAAAATGAGAGAAGCAGTTGTGCTTTTTATTTATGTGTATGAACATAATTGCTGTACATATTGAAATTGGTTATATAAATGCTCTTGCGTAAGGTCGATCGAAAAATTCATTCGAAACTTCGTTGGCCATTTGGACTTATAGTCGGACGATTTTTGTGAGAGACGAAAAAGAAGACCTGCTGTATATTCAGTCTTGGAAGTTGTAAGTAACCACACAGCTGGCTCATAAAGATCCGAAATGGATATCCGACCCACTGCCAGCTCCGCACCACTGTGGGTTATGGGAAAGACTTTTTGCTGTTGTAAGCTAGTTTTCTCCGCACTTTTAAAAAACAGAACTTGGTGTTCTTCAAACTTCTTTTAACGAACAATTATTCAACGCTCGCCAAATAACATTAGTCATTGCCAGCCCAGTGAGTCTTGAAATATGAACTCTTAAGCATTTTTGTCAGACGGATATAGTAGTAGCTTTCCGTTGCTCTCCTTCGAGGAACACTTCGACCACCGAAACACAGTACATCCTTGCGCACATTTATGCGAACGCCTGACTTCGCTAGTATGCGCCAACTTTGCATGAACAAACAAAATGGCACGTGGATAAGGACGTCTAACTTATAACCGAAATTTTTTTCAGGATTGTAGACAGTTGCAGACCAAGAGGTCCTTACTTACACTTTAACTCAAATTAAAATCATGGATTATCAAAAAAATCACTGTTCGATGCACCCCTTTTTCAATCCGTAACAAAAAACTAACGCGTGCGACCCTTAACTTTGTGCCGGTTTTCGCCCCCTCGGGACGAGAATGGTCTACAAGATTGCAAGCATGAAACTAAATTCTTTTCTTTTTAACATTTCTTAACGTTTTGAAATCTTTGTCACTTTTTGACTTTAAATGACTCTGTAAGTTGATGACTTTCAATTTCGTTGCCTATAGTTTTGACAAAAACTACATTGATTATAGCAATAAAATTTCGAAACTTTCAATTTTTACAAAATCACGTTGTTTTGTCGTTTTTTCCGATAAAAAATTTCAACCAAAAAACATTGAACACAAGTTTTTGAAAACATGAAAAGTCACGACTATCACAACTCGATCTCTCCACATCGAAGATTCCAAAGTAGAAACAATTCTAATTTCCTGATCTCAAATTAAAAAAAATCTTACTTGTGATTACAGCTTGGCAAATTTGGGATAGTTGACGCTTGACATATTTCGGGCTACTTAAACCTGAGTGGCGATTTAAATCTTTCGAATTTGAAACGAGGCATGCAAACTACACTTATGTATTTATCAACAGGCTGAAAAATCGTCACTTTGTTTTAAGCCTAGCGTGAACGGAGATAAAATGAGGGGAAAAAAGGAAAAAAAATATTGTAGTTATTTTATTTTTTTTTGCGAATTTTTGTTCAATTTTTCTCAAAAACTTCTTTCCTTGACTCTGAACAGCAGTCAGAAAAATTCTAAATTTAAGTATGATAATCAATTATGTTTGTCATAGTCTAATTAGTCCGCCGGCCAATTTTCATAACAATCGGAGATCGGAGAACGTAAACAAAATTTTACATCTAGCTGCAATAATGATACCACGTTAAATTTCTGGACCAAAAAAACGACCTTGAGTCGCAAAACAAAGAGCTGCACTAAGCAAAGTAACTAAGTCTGGAATGTCGGGAAATAAGAGAAACGGACTCTGCTTAGACAGGCTGCAAGGCCTTTCATAGATCCTCTGCGAACCAAAGAGACGGTAATTAGTAAATATTACTAGAGGGGGAAGGAAAAGGGGCAATGGCAGGTGCGGGGGGAGAAAAAGAGCCAAATTAACTTAAGTACATCACAATCTAAAGAAAGCCAGAACAATAAACCGATGAGCATCAACTTACTGATGTAACAGAAGTCTTCACAATCAACCTTAATCAATAACCTTGGAGGAGGAAAGTAGCCCACGTAAATAGCCATGACAACATTTGAGAAAAAAAGGCTCTTTTTCCTTCCCCCCCCCCACCTGCAAAATTTGATCAGTAAAAATTATGTTCACTTTGTTCAATTATTATGAAATTTGACATAAGGACTAATTAGGTTATGACAAACAAATTTGGTCTTCATAATTAACCATGTAAAACCACCCGTTACACCATAAAATTCATGTTCGTGTGAGGTGGGGGAAAAGGAAAAAGAGCCGAAAAAAATATGCATTTTGAGGGATAAGAACCAAAACTCTTGGAAATTTTGTATTTTTTGCTGGAGATGGTTTGCAACGAAACTCTGAGCGTGAATGACTACGCTGCTCCGGCTCTTTTTCAGTTTCCCACCCCCCTCAAAAAACTACAGATTTAAATCTTCATTTTAAATCTTCATAACTTGAATTTCAGAGGCTCTTCAACCTCCAAACCACCAAACCCTCCCCCACCTGCAAATTTTTACTAGTGAAATTTTGTTCACGAAATCCGAAGGTTGTGAAAATTGGCATGCGAACTAATTAGGCCGTGACAAACACATATTTGGTCTTCATGTTTAACCTTGCAAAATCCCTTGTTACACCATAAAAATTATGCTTATGTGAAGTGGGGGAATTGGAAAAGAGCCGCTACTCCAAGTCCAACATATGAAGAAAAATAAAGGGCGCAAAAAAATTTTTCTTTTCGCACGAGCGATTTTTCAGCTATCTTGAGAATAAAGTTATTTGAACTAGCATTAAATTGAATTTCTCTGTGAAATAACCTTGAACTTCCCTCATTTCAACTTTATACGAAATGCAAAAATAGTAAAAGGTCGGCTCTTTTTCCTTTTCTTCCACCTTTCATTAATCTCAAAGTACAAGCTGCTGCTTAATGTTTAATTACTGAATCTTGCAGGGTAATTCATGTAGAGAAAAATATTTGAATGATGATAATTAGCCCACGTGCCAAGTTGCATTACAATCGTACCAGGTGAACTTATGTATTTCAAGTAAAAAGTTCAAAGGTGAGACAAAAGGATAAAAGCCATGCAGTCATGTTATTTTACGTCAGCGATGTAATTAAAAATCCGTAGAGAACTTCGGCGGACACACGATGCCAGGCAAAAGGAAAGCTTTGCAATCTAATTCTTCCAAGATGAAACTAAGCCTGTTTTAGAGTTTGTCTTCGTGCCTCTCTCGCAAACTATTCTGAATATTATTTACAGCTGCAAAAACTTCAATTTTCGAGGGGTAGGGGGTGGGAGGGAGGGAGGAGGTACACGGAGAGAGACTTTAGTCTATCTTTACTAATCCGCTTCTCTGTTGAACAAAAGCCGAACTTTTTTCCAGTCCCCCCTTTGCCTTTTTCTGAAGTTCAGTTCACAAAAGCTTGTCTAAAACGACTTTGGGTGTTCTAAACGGCTATAAATCATGCTCTCGTGAACAGTGAAAACATTTTTACAACCTTTTTTAGATGCGGATTGCTGCATGAACAAACTTTAGACAATTTTGTATCATAATTTTAGAAGGGGGTTGGGAAACTGGAAAATTTCGTAGAAATCTGTTTACGAGTGTTGAGCCGAAACGTTTATCTGAAAAGAGTTTGGGATGGATATGAGAAACTGATTTTATAGAAAGAACACTAAACTTGCGGATTAGAAAGTCTATTTTTCTGATCGATAAAACTATAGTTTTAGTCCACCCTATTTGAAATTTTGAGAGTGATATTTGCTTACACTTAAAACGCGGAAGGATTAACACGCAAAATCCACCAGCAAAAGATCAAGAAACAAGGGCGGAAACAAAAGTGATCACGGAAGCACTGGTGGAAATATTGCATTGAACCCCCCGAAACACAAACCGACAGAAGTTTACGTTCGACTAATCAGTGGGGAAAACTTGGAAACCGACAAGCAACAGAAAAACATGTTCTTTTGCGTGTTTTACGTACACGACGGAGCGAGTAGGTTTCGAATCAACAAATCAACTACTAAAAGCTACCTTCAAACTCCAGAAGTGCAGAGCCGTTCGGGGAACCCAAAATGGGACTGTTTTGAAGAGTTCCCAGTTAAAACAGAGAAAGACTACCTCACAATTAAAGTGTTCAGAGACAGGACCAAGCTGGGCAGGATTAACATACCAGCGTGGGAGATCCCGCTGGATAAGGGTCAAACATTTACTCTTCCTTTGAATTCTAAGCCCAAAAGGGCCCTGGCACCAACTTTCCGAGATGCCAAGGAGGGTTCGGTCCAGTTAGAAACTTATGTCAGCAAACATGAGGCGTTTCAGCTACCACCTCACGGACCCAAAAGGGATAAATTTATCCAGGGATACTTCAAAGCAATGAGTAATATCAAAGATGTGGCTCTACTCAGCACTGGAAGCGCCGCAACCGCCGCCTCGGCGGTCCTCAACGACAACGACAACAACGAGGCGGCGATTCTGACCTTTCTTCCAACGAGCAGTCCAACAGCTTCACGAACCAAAGTCCACATTAGAGGGCGAGGTCTGGGAAAGTCAAAATCGGACATCAAGAGTATCCATATATGTGGACTCGACGTGACTGCGACTCTGGAACATCTAAACTCGACCAGTTTGAAAGTGACGACTAGCTTCTGGAAGGAAAGCGTGGGAAAAATTAAGATTGTGTTCATGGACGGGACTGTGATTGAGTCAAGTGAGACATTCGAGTTCCTGGGAAGAGACAACGACGTCAATAGTGAGTTAACAAATTATATCTGCTCTTTCCAGTTTGCCCTTTAAAAGTCCACTCACAAAAACCTGCTCAAAATGATGATCTTGGGGAGTGGTGGTGAAGTGGTTACGTCTCCGCCTCTCAATAGAAAGGTCAGATTTTTGAGGCCCACCATGATCCATGTTCGTTGCTTGATGGGAAAGAGGTGGGAAGATTAAAAAAAAACGCATATACGGTGACATATAATCTTTTATTATGGCTAAATGCGTGATGTTACGGCTCCCCCCTTTACGCATAAGTTTATAGTGTAATGAGGGGTTTAAAAAGATTAAGTATCAGGACCAAAAATGTCATGGCCTAACTTTGTCATGGCCTAACTAACTCCGGCTCTTTTCCAGTTCCCCCCCCCTTTTTCAAAATACCGAGTTTTATGTTTGATTTACGTGTTATTATGGCTAAATGCGTGATGTTACGCTGTAAAGTATGAAAAACAAATATGTTCACAGTTGTCGATTTGTTCACCACGCCAAATTTCATATCATTATGACAACGTTAAATAGACTTTTCAAAATTGAATTCGAAGGGGGGGGGAAACTGGAAAAGAGCCCTAACTCCCTAGCCAATTTTTGTAACAATCAGACAATATGAACAAAACATTACTTGTAAATTTTTGCAGGTGGCGTAGTGCCAAAATTCATTGCACAGTTGCCAAAACATCTACGTCTTGTACTGTTTCTCGGCCACGGCCAACAAAAATAGTTTTTGTGCGTAAAACATTGCGGCTTTTTTCCACTTCCCCCATATTTCAAAAATTCTATTTCAATAGTTGTTTTACGTGTCTTACGACTCCACTTATAAGATTTGACATATTCGGGTTCGTCTTTGGATACCACAGACACTTCATGCCCAAATCTGAGCGCCCAATAGGAACTCAAATAGCTTCGAAATGTAATTTTTTTAAAAAAATTTTCAATCCCAATTTTTATAATCTTTTTTTTTATGCAATGGTTTTGGTTGGAGCGGAGGCTATAATGGGAAATAGCGGTGATATCAAACCATCATGTAACTCTGGAACAGTACCATGTAAAGTTAGATATATTTTTGAATTTTTTGCGTTTTGCGGCGCTTTTTGTAGTCTTTTTGGGCTTTTGATGCATATTTTTTATGAACAATTTCTAAATTATTTTGCATTGGAATTTTATAAAGGCTGTGAATCTAGGAAAAAGCTGTTTCTTCGCGGTATTTTCCCGAAGGTTATAATGCTGAAGATTAAAGTTTTTGAGAAAATTAATTATAGGTTCGCTTTATTACTCTTTTTTTCAGTTTTTGTTTATAGCTGGTGAACCCTATTCCAGATAACTCTTGATGTTAAAACTGCACGAAAACAAATCGGCTCTTTTCCATTTTCTTACTCCCATTGTAAAATTACAAAATAATTGTTGAAAAATAGTCATGTGGCAGTTTGCAAGTAAAAATTGTAGCAACAATTTGTTCACGCTGACACGTTTTAGAACAGTTTAGAACATCAAAAGCAATTTCGAGTACAATTGTGTAACGTGAGTGTCCGAAAAACCAAACAAGGACTTGAAAAGAGCCAAATAGTCGTTTCATGCTTGTTAGTGGGCTCTTTCTTATTATAGCCCCCAACAAATTATAGCTTGTCTAAAAACAATCACTGCGTGACGGTGCTATAATGTTTTCTTTTACCATGTGGTTAGGCTACGGCAAGAAAAGATCCAGCTGAGACGGAAAAAAATTCATCTATTTCTGAATGAGTATTCATGCTATGGTTACTTTTATTTTTGAGTCTTTGTCCACATATTGCCTGGCTCTTTTTTGGTTTTTGGTTTTTTGAATTGTTTCAGATTTTTGATGCAAATCATAATAATATGAAACATTCGTATTTTGTTCCAATTGTGCTTTTATAAAGTTTGCGAATCTGGAAAAGTATTTTTTAAAAAAATTTTCTACATTTTTGTAGCTGTATACGTGGTTTTATGCCGGTTGGTATAAAGTTAAAGTCTACTTGTCTTTGAAAAAAAATGTCTTTGAAGAAAGTGTTACATAAATCCATCAACTTGCCTTGAGATGGTTTAAGCATTTTACCACAATTTGGAAAAAAAAATTGGTTGAAACATTTAACATTTCGAAAACTGAGTATGGGAAGTAACCAAATATGGCCTAACTATGCTGAGCTTTTTTTCGATGGAAAGACAGTTTTTGCAAAAAAAACTGCAGACGGGTTTGAGTGATTTGTCATACTGAAGTAACATGATTTCAATACCTTCTATCAATCAAAACTTTTTTCGAAAACTGATTTTGTGAAACTGATTTCAATCAACAGTACAATACAAGCTGAACTAATTTAAACTTAAGTTAAACAGGCTGCAATCAACTTTTGTCCTGCAATCAATTTTTGTCCGCTTTCAAAATTCTGGATCTTCTTCCAAATAGTAAATTTCCCCTTAATTCGAGAAAAACAAACAATAGCTTTAACTCGTGTACATAGATTGAAACAAATAGTAGAAAATTGTCAGGTCTTGCGACCTGTTCCTAATCCCCTTAAAAATATCAATAGTTTTCAGTAGTGAAAAGGATATACAAAAAAGAGAAACGAAAAACTTTCGTTCAAACATTGCGGACAAAAAGAACAAAACATGTAATCAATGGAATAGATGAAACTTTATGCTGCTCATGATACGATCGACTAATTAAAAAAACACTTTTTTCTGGGTGAAAAAATACTACACTTTTATAAACAACATTTTGAAGATTTACTTTAAAAGTATGAATTAAAAGTCCTTCATCTAACATAAAAGGTTTTCAAAAATATGTTTTCGATCAATATAAAAACCGAGATTTCTTAAGATACTTTTTGAGCTGTTTCTTATTATTACCAGTGAGATTTGAGCTGTTTCTTATTATTATCAGTGAGATTTTATATTAAAACTTCGTCAAACTTAAATATTGTCTAGAAAATTATTCCTATTTTATTTTTCAGGCATATCGACAATTCTTTCGTTTTTATCAATTCTGTTTTGAGGACAATTATTCTGTTTTGTCCACTTATTGTTTTTTGTAATTCAGTTTTGGTTTTTGATGACTTCAACTGGTCATTATGTGACTTTGTCACTTTGTATATTTTTGCTAAGAAACTAAACAGATGAATCCTATTTTTGTTGATAATTTCCGCTCACATGGTGCCTCATAAAAACTGTAAAATTTTCTAAGATTCAAGCATAGTCTCCTTAGAAAACGCTGATAATTTTTTTCAAAAGACTTTAATGCAGATTTAATGCCAATGCAGCATATAAGTGCTTTATATTGGAACTCCTAACATACTTGTTATATTTTTCAAGTTTTTGTTTCCTAGTTGAGTTTTTCTCAGTGTAGAGAGAATTGCAGTGACGTAGCTAAAATATACAACATGCTCCTTAAAATTTAAGCTGCTATCAATAACAATGCCAAGTTAGATATACGAGAAGTTTTGAGAGGTTTTGTCTGATTTACAGTTTTTAAAATTGGCGACGCTAGTTGTGTAATTGTTGGTAACAAAAATGACACGTTTTGTCCCACCCCTAATTCTTGTTACTTTTTTAGTATGATACATTTTTCTAAACTATTCAACTCGTTACCAAATTTGAGTGTGACTTTTTTCTAATGTTTCATGTTATAACAGTGTCGTCGGCAAGCAAATATATTTGCACGTGTTTGATTTGATCAAAAAAAGTCACTTTATATATAGATTAGGAAAAAAATGTAGCCGAGCACAAAATTTTGAGGAACTCCCATATGATAAAATTAGCCGATTTTATTGCCTGCTGCAAAATAACACAGTTTGCTGGCTTTCACTTAGGTATCATTTATTCAATTTATGAACTGGTCCGCGTAGTCCTTGATTAAAGCATTGTTAACAAAAAAAATATGATTAATTATTTCAAATGCCATTGTTAAAGCAAAGAAGGCACTCCGATTTTTTGTTCTTCATTTTCTCTCATTTATTTTTCAACGAGGCTAATAATTGAATGATTTATATTTGTTTTTTTTTATAGGCGTTTTGCACATTTGGGAAAATTTTTGTTCTTTTCAGAAAAACAATTAGCTATTTTTGATTATTTTTGTTTTAAAAAAAGCTAAAACTGGCAACAGTGATGTAGGACCATAATTAGAGCATTCAAATTTTGACCCCGTGTTTTTGTGCAAAGGAATTAGGTTTTCAGACAGGTTGGGAAAACGTTTCAGGAAACAGCCCTACTGATTAACAGCATCAAAAAATTTCAATTACGGTTTTGATTGTTTTTATTAATCAAATAGTATACTCGTAATGATCAACTGATAGTTTGATTTTTAGATTTGAAAATCTATTGAACACTTTGCTGACATTTGTTTTTGACAGCACTACACTACTATCAGTTTTTCAACATAGTTTTTACTGTTCACTATCAACTTTTTGATTTTATATCATTTTCTCTTCTATGGTTGTGAAATAATTTCTCAATTGATTCGCAGATAGATTGGAGTGTTCAGTTTAATTGAATGTTCCGAAGTTTGGTTTCTGAATGTTTCCATCATTTTGTAAAAAATGCTTTTGGTGTTGTATTGTTTTTGTTTGATCCCATTTTGCGAAAAAGCACGCTTTTGTGATAGAACAGAGGTTTGACTGTTTTGTTGATTTCTATAAGCTCGCCAAGTTTCACCAGTTGAATTAATTTTCTGGTTTCAGATCAATTTTTTTCGTATCAATTTTTTTCGCTTGTTCTTGGTATTCTGATTTATCCAATTTTCATCTGTTTTTTTTTTTTTTGAAAAAAAAATATTTGATTTTATGCTCAATGCATCAATTTATCAACTTTTCGGTTACGCTGTTTATGCATAAAAATGCTTGATTCAATTAAAATGTTCGAAGTTGTTTTCATTTGTATGTAACTCCTTTAGCAGCCAAATTTAGTTTTTTTTTTAGAATTTTCCAGTTAGTAAATTCTGTATTTCATAAATTTGTTTTTTTTTCCTAATTTCGTTTCCAA